CAAAGCCTTAACATGCCTAGTTCATCATCTTGATTTACTCTCAAAACCCTAGTGATCAACATTCATGAATACAAGCCTTACCCTCAAAGCTTTACTTCTTACAATTATCATACATATCTAGATTTCAAAATGTTCTAATCACATTCTTCATTATTAAGTGATTATAGTCACAATTCATCATAAAGGTTCAATTTCAACTTTACTAGTCATGATCCATCATATATACTAAAATCTAGTTCAATTCATGTCTATATGTTCCTAATCTTGAAAAATTACTACACATGACATTAATTTTAGAATCCTCACCTATCACCTATTAATCCTCAAGTTCACCTCTCATGACATAAACCCACATAATATCAATTCTATCAATTAGACTAGGGTTAACCATGGAAATCACATAAATTCATCATAATATCATAATTCAATGCTAAATCAATCATAATTATGTATTATCCACTCAATTGGAATCATACTTCAACACTACCCACAATGTAGGAAGAAACCCTAGCTAGAATTGGGTTTTGTCTTCACAATTGGGGGAAATCTAGGGGGTTCTATGGATGGAAGAGTCCATAGATGAATAAGCTAACATACCTTGATTCAAAGCCTCACCAAGCTTGCATCAATGGAAGAATTCTGCCCTAGCTTCCTTCTCTTCTTCTTCTTCACTTCTAGAGAGAGAATTTTTGGTTTCTTTTTGGTGAGTTGAGAGAATGATTTAGAATGACTTAATTAGGGGTCTATTAGGTTTATATATGGGGTCTAATTACTAATAAACCGACCCTACTTAACCATTAACTAATAATGAATTAACCCCTAAGTCCCAACTTAAAACAACTACTAGCCATAGATGCCCGTGGTTTTGACAGCTTTTGGGGCTGTTTTTAGGGTCCTCCTCAAGGACCCTTTGGTTGGTCCTTGGGGGATCGTACCTTGACGCCTTAAACCTAAAACATTCATTCTAAATATGGAAAGTCATTGTTATGATTTTAACCCTCATATCAAACTCTAAAACCCTAACACAGGGCTCTAGAACTCTCTAGTTTCACTTACTAGTTTCCGGGGTATTACATAAATATATCACATATGCAAGCTGCCTCTAGGACTGTGGCCTCAATAGGACTCTTCAAGACTCGTGAATTGCAACTATGTACATGTAACATATAAAGCTTTCAAATAGAATATAAGTACACCTACTTAATACTTAAACAACCATAAGAAGGTTTAGATGTCATAAGGAATCTAGTAGCCTTATGAATGAGGTACCTAAATATATTATGTCGCCTTAGCATATAGCTTGAACAAGAGCACATATATTTCTATTTCTATTTAATCCACTAACATTTAGGATATGCATATATACACATATTCTACCCATAAGGTGCTTCATTTACTTCTAAGGTGCTTCTTTTACCCGTACCGATAATTATACAATTGGACTCTCATTAGTAACTTATCGTGTCGACAAGCACAAATAGTTCTAAATTATTTGGCCTTACTCACATGGAAACATGGAACTCATATACATAACTACTTCTTAATAAAAATACATATAGGACCAGCTCACAGTGCCCACGATAAGGGGTCTCCAAACTCAGTTTACAACTACGACAACAACTATATATATTGTCATTCGCGTCACATACATTTATCTTAAACATTCAGACAACTATAGATTTCACCATGTCTTCACAACCTTCTAACAGAACAATACCATACCTCAATATTAGTTAAAAATATTAGAGTACTAGTTCTGTTAACGACGTAAATTCGCTCTTGAAAATGGCGGAAAGGGTCACCTTTACATACCTTGATTTAAATCTTGTAATGTACTACAACGGCTGAATTATCCCATGCTCCCTTTAGTATAAAACAACAACAAATGAAAATTCAACTTTAGGCAGTTACACAACATATCCAAGTCAGGTCGTCAATTCAACAGACACATGGTAGGTGTAAACTCAAGAGACATTCTAATCGATCGGTGTTTATAGTATTCAACCCCTCATATTACTAACAACAATACACTACATTTAAATGACTCCAACACATTAACAAGCAGTTACCAAACCACTCCACACACTCCCTCCTCACTAAAAATATCAATTAACATAGGTGAAACTTGGACTCACGACTTCCTATCGTCGTCCCGTGAGTCTTACATCACATACATGAGAGAGGGGAACATGGCCATACCTGAATTGACGAAAATACAGTCTCTTAAGCTCATATTAAGCAAGGATAAAAGTTGTCCCTTTTATCCAAAGAGAGACTTGTATATATTCTTGACTTGGTTGAAGCACCAACTTAATTCTTGGTTGATTTCTCAACTAGGGATTTTGTAGAGGAGAGGGCTTGAAGAACCAGCAAAAAGGAGCTTCCAAAATAACTTAACAACTGTCTCTATTGAATTCAACTCGTACATATCTGTTTTAAAATGCTTAAACCGACTTAACATGTGCCAGCCACGTGCCCAACGCGACCAATTTATGCCTCTGCGCAGTTCGTAATAAAACAAGCATATCTTCTTACTTTGAAGTCGTATTGATGTGAGATTTTGTTCGTTAGAAACTAGACTCAAATATTTTTAATTTGATATATTATAGACCCTTTAATTCCATATATATTGGGAGATATACCTATCCCAAGTCAGACCATATACGAAATTACAAGAAATAATCCGCCTCAATAAGACCTTCAACTTGTACTGTTGTTCCAAAGCTTTCTTTGTCCCCCAACCTCAGTATAACACTTATGTTGATGTAATATAAGTAACAATCAATATGGTCATTCATTTAAAACCTTATTCTCCCGACAACTCATCAACAAACAATGTAAGGCGAAAAGTATAAATTTTTTGATGCGTACATGTTAAGCTTAGTGAGTTAGTCGCCTTAAAATTTGTGGGGTATTACATGATCAAGCATAATGATTTTCTAGTGTTATCTCTTGAATAAACATAGCTAACCAATTAATCTTTTCGCTTAGATCTCGTCAAAGATTTTTTTATGTCTATCCTCCACTTTTAAATCTCAGTCACTAATATCTTAATACTTTAAAGTGACAATATCCAACTAAAACCTAATTCCACATTCTCTTTTGAAGACAACAAGATATAACGACATTATTAGTTGAGAGACCTTCAATTAAGTACAATCAATGCATAGTTGGACAAATAGAGATTAAAAATATAACTAATCAACTATAGAAAAATAATGAAAGAAATAAATTAAAAAAACTCGTTATCGAATCTTTTGCCTTTCCCCATGACCAATGGCGGACCCTGGATTTTGGTTCGGGGGGTTTGAAAAAAAAGTAAGCATGCTAATAGTGTTGACAAATTAACGTGTCGATTTAGATATAAACGGGTTAAATCATATATGAGCGAGCTTAAATTAAATATTTTTTATTAAAAAGTTTATTTAGTATATAAGAATATTTACTTGGAAATCCAATTCCAATTTTTTTTATTGAAATATTACTATGTATTAATTTAATATTTTAAAGAAACCCATAAATTTACAATATAAACCTATTTGAAAAGGTTTGACAAAGTCTTAACAAAAAAAAAGTTGTCAGAGAACACCTCCACCAAAATTCGATCTCAGCTAAAATGCATGGGCATTAACCTGCTTAACCGCTGCACTGTGTACTAATGTGTTGAGGGAGTTCAATTTTTAATATATATAGATGTAAATCGTAAACTTCATCCTATACGTACAATGTAATTTTCCGAGTGAGGGGGTTCGCCGGCTCCATGTGGGTCCGCCCCTGCCCATGACGATTCATCGCTATGTTAGGTAAAATCCCCTCCAAGTTGAATTTTCTTTCAAAACATATTTATTTATAAACTATTTATAAATGTAAAAAAAAAAAAAAAACTTAAGCGAAATATTATATAATCCAAAACAAATTGAAAAATATATTACTCCCTCTGTCCATTTTTAATTTTTATGTTACACTTTTCGAAAGCTAATTTGACTAATTTTCAAAGTGAAATTAGATTACATAAAGTCAATATTTTAAACAAAAAATTTAGATATTCAAAAACTATATGAATAATACTATAAATTGTAATTTTTTGCATATTAATATGATAAAAAATATGTATCGTACAATATTAGTCAAAATTCTTATTATTTGACTCTAAAAAAAAAATCATGACAATTAAAAGTGGACGGAGATAGTATGAAATTGGCCTGACACGATACGGACACGTCCGAGGGAACCAATTTTGCTTGGCTGCTCCTCTATTTGCTTTGATATTGACATGGGGCCAACTGCCAAGTGTACTTGTCCCATGCCTTCAGTTTAATTCAAATAGCCTATTCATGCTTTAATTCTAATTATGAGGCAATTATGATTTTACAGATCCATGTATTTACTTCCCATTTTAATAGTTTGCCTCCTATTGTTTAATTTCGAGTTACCTCAAAATTTCATTATATTTGCACCGTTTTATTTTTTATTAACAAATATAATTAGTAGTCAAAAAAATGATCATAAGTACTACTCCTATATATCAATGTGGGTTGAAGCGTTTAATTGGAACAGGCTTGAGTTAAAGTGTCAAAATGAAAATTAAAGTCGGATTTGAAAGTTTGTTTATGTATTTGGAAGTTAAATTTGAAGGTTTGTTTATGTATTTGGAATAATACTCATTTTAGTCAGTTAACGTTTCCTAGTTCTAATATAGTATGATATCAAAACAAATGTATAAATGAAAAAAAAAAAACGCAATTGGAAGAAATAGTACTCAATAAAACTACAATTCACACATGCACACACTCATTAAAGAAAAAAAAAAAAGAAGCAATGAGAAAACTCGATGAAATTAATTTTTTTTGAGGGAATTAAAAACTTGGAAATTTTAGAAATGTAAAATAGCGATTGTAAAAGCTAATATAATTATCTCTTCAAAAATCGTAATTGATATTGAAAATGTCCTTAGTTTCTTTTACTATGCAACACTAAGTCCATCATTGGCAAAGTGACAATACTTAAAATCTCTTGAAACTATTGGATTATACGATTAATATAATAATAAGACACAAGAAGTTATAACTTGTATACAAAGAAGCCCATTCAACAGAAGGAAAATTAATACTAGTATATAATTTGCATTCAGAAGATCAATATAATCATCATATTCTTTATAGGATCTTTCAGCAAACAGATTCCTATTCAAAGAGTGCATAACCACATGGATAAGCTCACATTAATCCGTCAATTTGAAATTCAAATTAGAGATTTCCCTTGGGAGGTATCGGGAAGCATACTCCTTGATCTTACCGCCCAGATGAATTGCAACAGTAGGGTGACACCACTTCTGCAAAATTCCGCTCACACCATTAAATGACAATTACCTTAGTTTAAAATTAGAAGTAGAAATGACAGATGAAATCAACGCAACATAATCACATAACACACACACAAATTAAAAAATGAGGAAAATTTAGAGCGACTTTTGTTTTTCAAATCAACAAGTATATATAGCAATCTCAGAAAAAAATTGAAAATGAGAAAGCGGGTGGTATGCTTGGCTCCTCGCACGCCACCCACTGATCAGTCAATCAAAGAATTGGTGAAAGTGTGTGGCATACAGGGAGCCAGGCACATCATTCTTACTCCTTCACCAATGCTAAACAAATAGCCCAAAATTTCTTCTTTTAATTTCTCCTCTTCTTTCTTTGTGAAATGAGGGGAATATATTTATAATATACCTAAGAAAAGAGTTATAAATGAGAATATATAAAGGTCAATAATATATTAAAGTTTATTACCATGTACATAATAATGTACCGTTACTCTACTTTCCTTACAACACATAAAAGTTCAAATTTTTGAAATCATGGAAGATAAAGGAAATATCATACCATAATCTAATGCTAAAATTACTCTTATAAACACAATCAATTAATAATTTGTACAGTGATCGATTTGATTGAGATACCTCTACTATTAATCAAACTTTGAATTTATAGGCTAAGACAACTTTACCCCTTAAAACTTAGTGTGACATTACTCAATATGAATTTAAATCAATCGAATCAATAAATTTTGTATACCTGATGTTGTTTGAAACAATAAAATATCAATAGACCCCCACCACTACTACCGACCCCTCCACCCATCTTTTTCTATCAAGTCCTAAATACCTTTTTAACTTTTCCCAAACCAACAAGATCAGCTTCCACCAATGTTTTGATTAGGTAAAGTTGGGGAAAATAGATTGTTTAGACTCATTTTCATGATTCTTCCTCATTTCATGCTCTTTAATTTATTTTTTTAGCATTTTTTTCTTACAAAATTGGGTGGAGGTCCCTTTTTGTTTTGGTCTGTTTTTTCTTGAGTGAGATTCATTTGTAAAGTTGGTCACCTTTGTCAAAGAAAAAAATTGTTTTTTTCCCATTAAGTAGCAGTAGAGACATGCCAAATAAATAAGATCATTAATCCATTCAGTAGCAGTAGTAGGAGTAGAAACATACCAAATTAATGTTTAAATTTTAAATTTCAGATAGTGCATATATAACTATATAGAATCACTTGTGCACAATTGCACTATGGCATAACACATAAATATGTCATTTAATTTAGCTTCAACTAACATCTATACCCTTTAATTTTGAGTGTACACAAATAAACACTAAAACTTGTATAAAATTAAACAAATACACACATTCGTCATACGTAACAAATATATGTATTACGCCACTTAAGACATAAAATTGTCATGCAGGACTCTAAAAAGAATGTGTCTAATTGTTTACACCCAAAGTTAGAGGACATAGATGTCAGTTAAAGTCAAATTAAATAACACATTTATGTATTATGTCTTTTTACACGATAGCCTAGACCAATGTCTAGGTGACACGTGACTAGAGCATTAAATGCGAATGGACATGAGTCCCTTCACATGGTACAAAATAGTACACCAATTTTTCGTTAAGAGATTCCAAAAATAAATTTCGCTTACCAGTTATAATTTATATCATATTTGATAAACATAAACGGAGGATCTATCTATATTGGGTAAAATGCAGCCAAGCATGTGATTATAGAGTCGGAGCTAGGTGGGGGTTTATGAGTTCGGATGAATCCAACAGCTTTTTCGTAGATTCTATATTTGTACTAGAAAATTAATTAAATATTTATATATATTAATTTGTGAACCCCTAACAAAGTTGATTGACAGATGTTAACGAAATTTAGAATCTCCAAACTCTTAATCCTCATTTCGCCTCTGGATGTGAACGACAGAGTAAAGGATGGACATGTGGCGCCAACAAGAGGTGTTCAAATTTATTAATTCGGAGGAATGAATTAGTTTCAAAGATGCTTTCATTTGTCTATTTTAACATATAATATATGGTGAATTAAATTTAAATGTGTGTTTTGATCCTATTACAAATACTATGATAGTTCTTATAGCTATCAAAGTGATTCCCCTCTCCACTTCTCACTCTCTATTCATTTCCTTGACCAAAATTTGCTCTAACATGCATTGTTGAATTGACTTTCCAACTTTTGCCATTTGCACTTTATCTTTCACTATCAAAATAAATTAAAAATTCAAAAGGAGACTACTTTTATTTTCTAGAAAAATGCTTTTGTCGGGTATGATTTTGGATGACCTTTAATTATTGTCTCTTTTTTTTTTCTTTTTCTTTCTGAATTTGCCATAACACCAATTGTTTTTAGTCTAATCCAAAATAATTACGTGCATACTCTTTCTCTTCCATTTTGGTTAATGTTTTGAGAGTTTATCCAAGCTAATTAATCACAAAATAAACTAGGAAAAATAATTGATTTGTATAATTAAGATAATCAAGTACGGGTTAACTTGGTACTATAACATAAGATTCAAAATTTTAATTCGTGAATTACTGAATTTTTATTTTATTTTTTACTTAAAGAAACATACCCCTACAAATTTTCTTTAAAATACAAAATTAATTATATTAAAGTTTTAAATTAATCAAAATATAACCGATGAGCGAAGGAACATGACATGGAAATACACCATCAACAATGCTACAATCCCTCATTAGTTGATAACTCGATTTTAATTACATGATCGGCCAATCTATGTATAATACACTTTTCTTTTCAATTTATCAAAAAAGTATCATTTTTCTATAATTTAAAATAACTTTAACTTTAAAATTATTATTTTTTATTCTTAATGAAAAGAGTTATTAGTCGCACTTGCACAAATGTCTGAGATCTATTTTAGAAATAAATTTTAAAAATTTCACTTTCTTACACTTTATGCCTAGTCAATTGTGTCATATGAATTGAAACAGTAAAAGTATAATATTTTACGATAATTTGATTTCTTTTACATCAGGTATATAATTATGATAATTATTCGATTTGTTTTACCTCTAATATTATCTTTGGTGTAATGACCTCTTTCTTTGAATTTTTAACTATATTAATATGGGTCAAATAATACGAAAAAAGAGAAAATAGTATTGTGAGCAAATTCATAGAAATTTGTCAATGATAAGAAGAATTTTTCTTGATTTTTTCCCCCCAAAAAAGTAGAAGAGAATGCAAAGTAAATTTAATATTGAGTTATTAGAGAAAGAAAATATGGGAGACATATGGCCTAGTTAGACTTTTCTTTTTTGTTTATGTAGGTCAAAAATGATTGAGAGCTAAGTATTGTACAATTTTCCTTTCCCCACCCACACACCCCCGCCTTTTAAGCTTTTGATATGTACAAATTGAGGCGTGGACTGAAAAGTGTAGGGCCTAATTTGATCAACCTCATCTCATAAAAGATTCATAACTTAATTGACAACATCAACATCTAATTTTAAATTTAACCCTTTTTAATAAACTATAACAAATTGTTACTCTATGTAATTTATAATCCTCAATGTATTAAGTAGGGGGTGTTAAAATGTAGGTAACTCATCTAACATGTCCAAAATTTTATGGATTGGACTTTAGATAGTTTGAATTGAGTCAATCGCAACTCATTCAAGCCTTGACCCATTTAAAAGAATCTTTAATTGAATTCAATTTAATCTCCAATTTCAACCCGTTTTAAGGTCTTTATTTGGATAGGTGTAACGTAAGTTCTCATATTGAAGATATGAATTATTATTCATTTTATATCTTTTAGGATTTATTTATCTATACATTTGTAACTTTTTATTTTTATTTTCTTGAGTTAAATTTTAGATTTTAGCCCATTTAAGTCCAAAATAAATTGGAAAATTTATCTAAATATACAACTTACTTTATAATATTCTCTAAAATTCCCTACCATTTGAAAATTACAAAAATCTCTATTCTCTTCTATTCTAAGATACATCACTTTAGTTGGATACATTACTTTACACGATGTATTGAGACGTTGAGTGATGTATTCGAAACCGAGACGCGATGTGTCGAGACGTTGATCGATGTATCTGAAATCGAAACACATTATATCGAGAAGTTTTGGGATGTATTCGAATTCCACCAAATTTAAGAGATTTTTGTAATTTAAAAAAGAGTAGGAATATAATGTAATTAACTCTTAACACTATTAGGTTTGTGTAAAATTTCTTAATAAATTTGAACGGGTCACAACTCAATCCAATTTTTATTTCAATCTGTTTTAATATCAAATTTCAATCCAACCCGTTCATTTTAACACCCCTATATTACATTATGCAAATGGTCGGTCCATGTTTTCCACTTCCAACCTCTAATTGCGGAGGCAAGTCTGTTAACTGTTGGCCTAAAGCAAGAAGAGCGTGTGATTATTTGATTTTGCGTGGCAGCCCAATCTATTGGATATTCAACTAGTCCTTCACCTATCCGCTCCTTGTTTTATGGTTTAGAGCCCGTTTGCGATTACCGTTAAAAACTGCTTATTTTTAGCAATATTTTTTAAAATTAACTTTTTAGAAAAGTGTTTTTGAAAAGAAAAAAAAAACAATTTGTGTTTAGCTAATTCATTTGAAAAGTATTTTTTATAAGCAAATTGTGTTTGACTAATCTTTTTTAAAAAATCCTTTTGAGAGTCAAATTACGATTAAGGGAAAGTATTAATATACTTTTAATATTAAGATTATTTTATAGAGAAAAACTAGTTTAAACATCTATTACAAGAAATTAAATTAAAATTATATTTTTATAAAATTAAAATGTTCATATTCAAATTCTAATCAATATTATACAGTTTTTGAAGGGTTGAAATCTTTAATTGTTATTTTTTTTCTTCTTCTTTTTTTCCGAATCTTACAGAAATGTTGTTGTTACCTTCTTCTTGTTTTCTAATTCTATAAAATAATACATAAAATGATAAATAAAATAATAATAATACGTAAACATAAAATAAAATACAAATTTTATTCTATAAAAATAAAAAATAAAATTATTAGATGGAACTTAACCAAACATATGGGATATGCTAATTAATTAATATATATTTTTAAAAAATGTTCTTTTCTCAAATTAATTACTTCTGGGCTCCCAACAACAATGCCAAACATGCTCTTATTATTTCAAAAAAGTACCCAATACCCTTGAAATTGAGTTGTTTTGAAATAATGCTTCTCATTGTCTAATGAACAAATCTTTCATATTAAAAAATCAAAACTTGTGGAACTTAGGGTGTATTTCTGGAAAATGTTATTCAATTTTCTGATGTTTGATTGGCTTAAATATTTTCCAAATCAACTCATTTTCTCAAATTTAAGGAAATGACTTCCATTTCTAAGTTCATTTTTGTAAATCTCACTTATAAGTAGGAGTATTAGTTTATTTCTAGTTTGATAGGTAATCAAACAGTGCCCCGAGTCAAAGTAATTATCTTTCATAATTATTTACCATTTGAATACTCCC